GAAAGTTGTGTTGAGATGAATCTATTGGCACATGTCAAGTGTTGTGATGGTGTCGTATTCCACAGCCAATGGGTGTTTTTGCGCGTTTTCGTGAATATTTGAAATGCATTACAAGATTCGCTAGTCGTTAAATTATATGTACGTACAGGGTATCGATTTTGATCGTAAAAACTTAAGATGCCGAACTCGGACTGCTGCGGGCTGGCGAAAGGAAATTCGAAGAAAGCGCAATCCGATACTTGGGGATGCGGTCAGAAGTAGGAGTAGGAGTAGAGGTCTTCTTGACGCCATTCTGGGGCGGATCAATGATCTCTGCCTTCGCACTGTCGGGGGTGACCTTCGTCGGTGTGCTCTCCGTCTCGATCGTCGAGTCTTTTCTACGCTGATGCGGTGTCGGGGTGTCCGGCGTCAATGGTGGGCTGTCTTTCGAGGCCTGCGGTGTAACGCGCTCGCCACTTGTGCCACCCTCTAGAACAAGATTCAGATTCGCTGGCGTGCTCGCTGTAGATGATGCAGCAACAAGGTCATCGGAAGAGCGTTTTGTCTGCGAGAAGTGTGGCGACGTGATAATGTGAGCGTGTGGGAAGCCAAAGCCTTCGAGCTTAGCTGCTATTGCTTGGTTGTATTCTTGCAGATTGTTCGTCTCGGTAGCCGTTGTGGAGGGGATGCTGAAATCGTCATGGGTTTCATGAATGGTAGTGATTCGCGAATTGCCATTCGCGACAGCTTCGTGCGACACTGTCGGGCCCTTCCATTCGGGGTGGGGTATACGTCCGATGACATTCAACCTGCCTGTCCCTAGTTTCGCCCATTCCCAGATGCCTCGACGCGTCGGTGATCGTTGTGGTGGTTGCACTGGTCCTCCCTCGAGCTCCCTCAATGCTTGGTCTTCAAGCTGGCTATTCTGGTGTGGGTGAGACGCGTCGTCTGAGCTTCGGCGGCGCTCTTCTAGGACTGGGCGTGACCTCTGTATCTCCGTTCCACTGCTTTGAGCCCGCTCCAGGCGTCTTCTCTCCGGCGGCGTCACTTTGCGCAGCTTTTCCCTGTCCTTCTCCCTCTCGCGAATCGCGTCGAGATTGGGTGTTTGACTCGCGACCGCCATTTCCGTCGATGTGCCAACTGTCGAGCTCGCCGGACTTGTCAGGCGACGGCGGAGAGGACCGGCGCTGCCTTCTTGTGGGCGAGCTTGGAGGGGATGAGGCGGGCGAGGCGTCTTCGGGGGAGGAGGGCGGGGAGGGCGGTTGTGCTGGTCGGAGCTTATGTAGGGGACTGATTTGGCGGATGACAGGCCGGCTTTCTTCTTTGCTGGTTAATGGACGTTATTACGCGTTTTTGACAGCATTGAAATGGCTGATAGGATGCCGAGAGTAGGCTGAGGAGAGGTCGGAGTCACACACCTTGCTTCCCTTTGCCCTTTCCCTTTGTGTGGCAGTTCGGACCAGCTTCGTGGTCATGGTAGTCGCACTCATGACCCTCATCCGTTGGATCGTCGAACAGCATGCCGCCGGTGCCTGATCTGATCGCCTTGACGAGGTCGATGGCGAAGTCGGGATTGTTCTCGAAGCACTCGCGATAGGTTTCGACGTCGCGCTCACTACCAGGATCCATAATCTGGCGGGCCGCGATGCGCGTCATGAGCGTGCGGAAGGGCGACCCTGTCGGACTCTTGCGATAGATGTCATCAATCTCGTCAGCGTCAGGGACCAGCTCGGCCTCATTTAGACCTTTTCGGTACTGATCCATCGCGACGTTCTTCAGTTGAAGCATGTCAAAGCGATCGCACAGCAGATAGAGTCTGTGGCAGCTCACAGCATACTCATACTTCTGGTTGGCGTCGGCCATGTCAGAGACATCGTCGAGGCTGCCCTGGTATAGCCACTTCACCAGCAGCTCGAAGCCGGCAGGGTTGTAATCGGGAAGATCGAGGCGATCTTTCCTAGTGTGGCCGTCGGCATCGCCTAGCAGCTCGTTCTCGAGGGTTTCGGAGTGGTGGCATAGCAGATTGCGATGCAGCGACCAGTGGCGCTTGGACTCGCCTACGTAGACGTCGATCATAGGGCCGGAGAGAAGTCTATCGCGTTGTAGCTTAGCTTTGGCCCGCACATGGAGGCGATGAGAGTAGAGACGGTGGGTGAGAGCCGGGCGCACTGCGATGCATCGCGACGGCGCTTCGGGTCTTTGCGCCAGCGCCAATTGCGATGCATCGGCAGGCGGCGCATTCTCCATGAAGTCATCCTCCTTTTCCCGCGATGTCTGCGATTGCGATGCACCCGCCTCGTCACCGTGGTCGAAGAAAGGATCGTCTACGTACTCAGCAAAAGTCGCGGCAGGCACGTCGCCAATGCTGCCAGAAGCCATGCGTGACCGTTTGGAACCCGGGATGGCAAAATCACGATGGTATTGTCGCAGAGTCTGCCACATGCAGCGCGGAGATAGCGCTCATGGATGCGCGATGGCTTATATGGGGGATAGTACGTGTCGCGATGCGGTGAGGGCTGTGAGGTGTCGTGGTGAGGTGTACCGTCCGTGTAGACGTGCTGGAGTGGAGACATCAAGGATGGCTGGGTGGCTCCTGCCCTGACGTCGTTGGCCCGCCCGGGGTAGCTTCCGCATTGCCTAGGCCCAGATCCTCGCCGTCACTCCGGACCTGCAGCCAACAATCATCAACTCAACATCTAGAATCTGCTTCCCCAACACCGCATCATGGTAACATCAAGTCTTGTTATTGCGCAGAATGGCTGTGCGGAAGCTCATTTTGCGCACTCTCGACATCGCCGCGCTAAGCACATGTGACGTTGCCTTTTTACCATAGCTCCCTATGCTAACGCAGGCTCGTTAAACAGGGGATGCTCTCCTTGCCGCAGAACCGCTGTTTCCGGCGACGGCAAAGTTCTGCTAATCTGAGCCTGCAATTTGGCTTTTACATATCGGTAAACAATCCGGAGAGTACATATACAAATCGACTCATTGGTTCCCTCGGCACAGATGCTACAGCCCCTCATCCTCTGCAAGACTGACCCGTGGTTCATCGCTCCACGTCCCGAACATCAACATAATATATTTCTAGCAATCTAGAGATATTTCATTTTTAACTCTACATTTCCGCTCTACAACGTACACGTCAATCGCATCCTATCACACCATGCCACCCATGATCAGAGACAAAACATCGTTCGACGCGATCGTCGACCCTACCTCTTCTCAGAACACCCTTTCACTCAAGCGAATCTGGAGGAAAGCAATGCCACGCGCAAATCCTTCGGCGAAGCGGTCGCCTGATGGGATTTCCAAAAAGCGAAAGCTTGCATTGTATTTGTTGCCGCGGCCTCCGATCAAGTATCTCGTCACAGACCTTGTCACAGACCCCAGGAACAGGATAGCGAAGTAACTTCAATACTGTTAAGATCGGCTCGCGATCTTCGAAGGATCATCTGAGCCAATGAGAGACACACTGCACACGCCAAGAACAGCAGCCGAGACTGCTGCCTGTTCATGTCTTCTCACATCATAACCATATGCGCTCTATTCCAACTCGACGGCATCGAACTCAATGGCCAGTTCGCGGTCATTAGAACCCTCGTTCGGCTGGGAACCTTCTGATCATTTCCTTCTAGTACGTCGGATTGCACTCTACGTCTTTTAGTCAACACAGCGAGCATGAGCAAGCTCTATCGAATGCGACTGATCAAGAGCAAAAGGAGAAATGGGATCCAGAATCATCTCTACACCAAGACGAGCAAGAACGGAACCTTATCAAAGCCTGGATCCACCTCGGTGAGCGTGGCCGTTCGGTAGGATCTACCTATCCCACTTTGTGGGCACGTCCGAACTTTATTTACTAACGCGCGTCTTGATCAGCTTTACCGCGAGCGATGCGACGATATACCTTTTCCTCAACACATTCCGTCAAATCTGTCAGTCTTCGAGAAGCGCCGTAAAGTGACAGATTCAGGCGAGTGGAATCGTGCTGCTGGTGCGATATGGATTCGAACATGGTATGGCAATGAAGCATCTCTGGGGGAAGTATCGGGCGAAGACATTGTCACACGTGCGAGTGCCGACGAAGCATACTCTCGACTATGGCGGAAAGCCTTGCATCCTTGTCAGCTCCATTACAAATTCGACGCGGACAGGCTTGGGCCTTTCATCTTCGATGACAACGGTGCCGCGTATGGAGTGGAAGCACGGGACGCAGACGATGAACTGGAGCTGATGGGAGATATACCCTCTTTCATCCTAAGCGCCCTAATGCGATGTCCTGACGCAATGGAGGGAAGCTACGAGAGTCAGATAATGGAGGAGGACGATCACACAGAATTGGCACAAAGCTTACTTGTCGTAGTCGCAGACCGCCAGGCATGCGAAGAGGGATGGGTACTGCTGATTGTCCTGAACCACAAGGGTCAGGCGTTGCACCTGCGTGTACGGTGCAAGGCTTACCTGGTTTGGGAGCAGGTCAATCATTTCAGAGATGGAGGCATGCCGCTGGATATCACGGAGAGCAAAGATAATCTCATGGACTACCTGGATGGCAATCGATCAGGTGATGGTTGGGATGAGGACGAACCCCAGGATTAGCCAATACATACACCGGAGCTTCGAGCTTGTCTTTTGCGCTAACTGGTCGCCCGACACTATGCACTCTTACTCTATATTGAGATGAAGAAGGAGCGCCCTTGATGAAACTGTGGAGGGCAGACTCAACGGCTGCGGGGCAGCAGAGGACGGAATGTGGACAGTGGGGATGTTGGTGACCGTGCTTCAGCTGCGTCAGATATCTTGCTCGTGTGTAGGTGTCAGTTACCACCCCACTATTACGATGTCACTGGTGACTGTAGTCTAGTATATCATTATGAAACAGCGCTTTCACGTCCTCTATCAACCCGATCAATCAGACTTGGTGCCTTTCTTCTAGCAGACGGCCTTGGGAAACTGGTGCCACCATCCTCACGCCTCTTCCAAACCAAGCTAAGGAAGCACTGCCCACAGATCCTCCAAACATGACAGAAGTTGTCTGGATACCTAAGCCAACGGCACAGACAACGGGTCAAGCTATCGAAGTGGACGAAGCCGTTGTGGAGCGTGAGTCAGCCCTCGAACGCAGTCCAATGTGGCGTTCAGGCTAACCATTCAAAAGGTCTACCCCACGGGTGCAAAGCCATCACAGCAAGGCTACATGGCGCCAGTTTTTGGACGCAGACCGCACGTATCGATGTACGACTAGCCGATGGCACTCCGCAAACATATTTTCTCAAGACCGCCAGTGGCGAACTTGGCATGAGCATGCTCCGAGGAGAGTACTGTGGTTCCAAAACATTGCATTCATATACACCTGGCAAGTACTCTCGCCTACCCGATATCAAAAAGAAGCTGACTTTGTACACCACTTAGAAGGCATACCTCGCCCCATCGCTTGGGGAACATACAAGTCAGACCCCAATAAGCACTTCTATCTAGCCGAGTTCATGGAGATGACCGCAGATCTCCCCAACATCCGAGCATTTTCTGCTATGCTAGCCAAGCTCCATCACGACAGCATGACGGAGCCGAAAGCGCCCAAGGAGTTCGGATACAAGGTTATGACACACGAAGGCAGCATGTACCAGGACGTAAGGTGGAGAAAGACATGGGAAGAGCTGTACAGCCGGCGCTTCCAGTCGTTCGTCGACCAAGAATTAGCATCGCAGGGCCCGAGCGAAGAGATAGAGAAGCTGGTGCTTGGTCTCAAAGAGAAGGTCATTCCACGACTGCTTCGGCCTCTGGACACGCATGGTCGCAAACTGAGACCGGTTGCGCTTCACGGCGACATTTGGTGTGGTAATATAGGTACCAATGCGGTTACCGGTGAGCCCGTGTACTTTGACCCAGCAGTCTTCTGGGGTCATAACGAGTGTAAGTGACAGTGTAATAAAACATTTGGATCGAGGCTGATGTGGTGGTTTCGTTGGTAAAGACGACATCGGTAGCATGGCCACTCCTCGTTACAAACTCGGTCGAGAGTGGATGCAGGAGTATCACAAGTTCTTCCCTATATCAGCACCAGAGTGCGATTATGAAGACCGCAACGTTCTGTATGCAATGTAAGCTACCTCTCTCTAGTAGATCCCTTCCCCGCTGACTTTGCGAAGAAGTGGACACTTTTGCGCTTCCGCGCTGTATCCTGAGAAGAACGACTTCCGAAAGATGTGTGTTGTCAATTCACCAGTAGTGCATACTTGCTGACGTATACTAGGGCTATTGTGGATATGAAACGACTTTTGGACAAGTACCCAAAAGGGTATCAAGAAGGGTAGCGTTTGATACTCCATCTCTAGCGGCAACGCTTCCGCGATCATCTCGTTGTTGTCTCCATTGGAGCTGTCAAATGGCGCGACAATTTCAACGATCAACTGGGCTTGGGCAATATATCCAGGAATGCTTAGCTCGCTCCACCTTTCGCTCGCTCTTTGACCTTCCTATTTCTCCGTGCTTTCTTCTCGTTCTTGCGATTGATTCCCAAGTTGGAGCCCTTGCGCTTTACTCTGGGACTTCCAACTCGATTATCCTTGGTCCCAGTGAGTCGCTCAAGGTCATTTAACAGAGCCTTACTATCTTGAGAGGGTTCAGCGTCAGTATAAGCCCTGAACAAGTCCAGTATATGCGTCGGGTTAGTGGATGTAGATTGCCAAGCATGCACTGTTGTTTGCCACAAGGATTGCGGTGAGTTGACTGCGCTCAGAAATATCTTCAGTAGCTGAGCAGCCTCCAATGCTGAGTCCTTTATGATCGCAGTATGCCCTGCTGATGAGTTCCTTTGCGTCTTCAAAGCTTCCATGTTCGTACACAGAAGCAACGCTTGTTGCCACAAGCTGGTAGCGAACGCCACGCTCTCTGGACCTGAGACGTTGTGCAGAAGGTATGTCAGCGTGCTGGATGCCTCTTCGAGAGACATTTTTGTATGATCATCGCAAGATATTCGATCTTTCCATATAGATATCGCATGTAGGACAATCACGAAACGCTCTTCTTGACTAGCGTCCGGGGGCAGTAGACGTAGATGATGGAGGAGGCCTCGTCTAGCCGCAAAACTATGAATACTTGCGTATTCATCGACAGCTGTGTCCATTCCCTCCAGTTCTAGGCGGTGTGATCTGACAGACCAGTGAAGGCTGCTGCAATTAGATTCATAATCGCAGGCGGGGGGCGACTTCAGGCGAAAATCTGACATGATCCGGTCCATGTCATGAATATACTTCTGAACAATTCGTGACTCTGTGGTACTGATCTGCCGGAAAAACCCCGCGGCGGCTTCTAAGTACCATATCAGCCCGTTGTAGTCAAACCGTGTGGCTAGCTCCATCGTAGACAAGCATGCGAATGTGAGACTGGAGGCGGCATCAAAGGCCATATTGCTTGTCAGCTCGCAGACTTCCTGCCAAACTTCGGCCGTCGCAATGAATTCGGCGACAGTTCTATGCAAATATGTGATCACAGTACGGTTGACATCGTCGATAGTGATCAGCTCTCCAGCAGTCATTGGAGCTGACCAGCCGTCCAGCGCCGTCTCGTTATGGCGCAGCTCGAGTAGACCACAACAACGACTGCGAACGCGTTTGTCCAAAGTGCTCATAGTCCAGTCAAATGTCTCGCCAGTTAGCGAAGTGGCCGTTGTTTCGAAGACATCTGTAGCAGGGTTTATGACGTATAACAAGACCAGGCCAGGCAGGGGTCGAGAGTCTATACAGCGGTGCCACCGGTCAAGCAGCTGGAAGATGACTGCAGCTTGCTGCTGGTACTCAATCCTCATTTTCCCAAACATATTCTTGTACAGATACCTAAGATCTGAGGGAAGCAGTGTAAGTTTGGCCTGGAGCTCCTCAAGAGTATCTCCATCCTCGAGACCGTCGATGAGAAGACGTACGACGAGCTTGGTCCAGAGAAAAACACCCTCTGCTTTGTCGAGTAAATCGATTATCAGAAGCGGGGCTCTTGTTGGAAATTGTTGCATCAGGCGGGCCATGAGGTGATTGGATGAAAGCTCCCCTTGCACATACTTTTCCATATCCGGCCGGGTCAACTCTTGGAGGCGTAAGGTAGGGCATCCTGCCAGTGCATCCAAGCAGGCGTTGAGAGGTCGACTTGAGACAGTCAATTTTATGTGCGGTAATGGCAGTGATCGTAGGAAGAGTGCCATGTCGCGGTGGTCGCCCTCAAATTCGTCGATACCATCTATGAAGATTGCCAGCCTCAGAAATCGGGACTTGTTCATTAGTCGTTCGAATGCCTCCTTCATCTCGACATATTCGGGCTCAGTATCAGCGTCTGAGGCTTTCCAGTTTCGGTATAATCGTGGAAAGACAGCTGGTACCAATTCCGGGTGTTTATCGAGTACCGTGTGGAGAAGAGCTCTGAGCATTCCGACATGAGTCTTTTGATGGGTAGTTCCCAAGTTCCAGAAGAAGAAGTGCAAGTTCATCAGCTCGCTCTCTCCTGCCCATTGCTTTAACGCTTTTTGAGTTCTTGGATCGTCGTAGATAAACTTCATCAAGGTCGATTTGCCACTACCAGCTTTCCCGCTAATGAAGTATGGCTCACTTCTGTCTTGCTGCAAGTGTAGTGAGAAGTCCGACCACTTGTTGTGCACAGCTGGCGATTTATAAACCCATCCATACGTCTTCCGGTAAGCTTTCGCGACACTCTCATAACGCCAGAAGATCTGCCGGAAGTCCAGCCATCTCAGGATTTCTTTCTCTCGACTTCGTGAACTTCCGTTTGGAGAGATCTCGCCGTGCAAATTGGTGATCTTATCCAAACATGACTGAATCTGTTCCTGAATTACAGCAGACATGTCGCTTGCTTGTTCCTGTACGGCATCCGCGAGAGCCTCGACCGCTATCCTAATCTTCTCATCATCCAACTTCCAAACTCCATGGTCTTGTTGGATTGCTTTCAAGTGTGTAAGAATCTCATCATTGTCGCTCTCTGAACTAGTGCGAAGCGCTAGTACTGTGGCCAGGGTAAGGGAACCGCGAAGCTTTTCGAGTTTAGCGACGAAATCGTCGATATGGTGTGAAGACCAATGGTATTTGGCAGCAGTCTTCACGGTTCGCAGAAATTTTGAGGATGAGTGGCTAGTCAAACCCTCCAGGTAGGTGATGAAATGCGTGCCAGCCTCTTCACATTCTGCAGCAAGATCTAAGAGATTCTGCGCAACGCGATTAGCAGGTACGAAACGATGGCATAGATAATAACTCACCTGATCCTCCTCTTTCAGCGTCGCGCTGCATGCCTTCAGACGAGTTTTCAGCACAGCAGCTTGGTCAGTCAGTGTCGTTGAGAGGCGTCGGAGATCCTGAAGTGATGAGGGACTGCCGCTTTTCCTTATCGCGTTGGCCTCGGCGATCAAGCTGCCAACGCCTTGGAGAAACTGGACCACGTTGCCTGCCAGTCCGACCGCAATGAGCGCTTCCATCGTTACCTTCGTTCAATCCTTGATCGGTGATGTTATGGGGAGATGATGTGAACATTATCGTTTTGACATGACGATTGATCAGGCTGAGGCTGAGGTCGCACAGCTGCTCAGCCGAAGATGCGTTGTAGCCTGGCCAAGCCAGCCTGGTGGTGGCGGTGCATTGATTCCTAGTGTCCTATGGTTGTGAGTGGCATGAAAGCAAATCTACACATACGTACACTCAGTTCAAAATGCCGGGTAGCTTCTCACTGACCGCACAAACGCCAAGCATAAGGCACGTACAGCGTAACGAATGCAAAACGTTTTCAGCCGCTTCCTAAAATTATTTAGCTGACCCTACAAAGGTTACATGAGAGAGAAGCAAAGTGGTCGCAGTAATCAATGTCTTTGTAGTACAACCACCTAGTTGAGTTGTAATCTTAGCAAAAAAAGACAAGATAGAAGCTACGTTATGATGGCTTTAAATAGCCCAGGAGCCTAAAACAAGATGGAAGCGCTCTAAGAACTTCTCTTGCTTAGTTTACTATGTTGTATTACTTGATAAGGTAATAGCTGTGAAGATGTTAGTTATTCTAAGTACCTAGGCCTTACTGTTCTTATAATTCCCTTCTATTCTGTTCGTTAAAGGCGGCCAAAATGTGTTTAGGGGCGGCTGAAGAGGCTTGTTTATAATAAAGGGTAACAACGCTGTACAGCAAAAGGCTTGCTTTCTATGAGGTTTTATATCTAATAGCATTGACTGCCCCACCGCGACAATCACACCCTCAGCTTATTTAGATACCTTTGGTTGCGCGTATAGGTCATGAAGGCTCAACAGAGGTGAATGGTCTGGACATCGACACCACGATACTTCAGAGCCTTGGAAGACAATCGCGGATCGAATTCGGGAAGAGCAGTCTGGTCACGCCACTCAAACTCCGCCGATAATGGTCCCAGACGTGGGTCATCCTTAACTGCGTCATCCGAGTCTTTCTTGAAGTTTTGAAACATGATGCCTTGATGGCTGCGATAGGCTTGTGCTCGCCAGCCACATGGAAGTCGCCCAAGGATTGCTTCGCCGTTCATTAGACCATGTACATAAGCCTCTCCAATAATTGCATGGTGGCCATTCGCCTTGGGGCGGAGGACCACCGGTGCGTCAAAGCCCAACAATACTGCAATGATGTCGCCTTCCGCTGTTAGTTGGGTCTTCAAGTGTTTTCCAGTGAACGCATCTTACCTTTTGCTATCGATTGGGAGCCGAATCCGATGTAATCCTGGCTCTTGAAGAGGCGTCGCCCATGGGTGAAGTCTTGTACACTACTCTGAAAAGCGTCGAACCCAGTTTCCGCTCTTCTCAACCCTCCCCCATCTGCTGACTCCAAGGTTCTTCTGCACTGAGATACGGTCGGCCAATAGATGTGGGATGGGTACATCTCACGAACGCGGTTTCCGCATAGAGTAGCGACGAAAGCATCAAGCTGGGCATCGCTCGACTCGTCAAATTTCTCGTCAAAACGTATCAGCTCGTTCGATATGCGTCTCCAATACTGCCACGTTCCATGCCCTTCTCGTTGTTCTGATTCCTCGACCCATGAGATCGCTCCGCAGTGCACTCCAATGACCTCGAGAATTTTGTCGTCGATGATTCGCGCACCTCCAGCACAGCTCTGACCCGAGGCGAAACGGCCGAAGGTCATTGGTTCTCGCGGCAGTCCTTTCGACCAATCCGGTATCCACGATGGCCCATTACAGCCACCTTTTGGCATGTCGCAGAACTCAAGGAAGCTGAGCTTATCATATGCCTCAAGCCAGGTTTGGCAAGCTCTCTGATATGTCGCCGCTGGAGTGATGCTGTAATCCGGATTCACCAGCATGGAGAAGCGCGACTCTAAGAGCCCTAGAACGGCATAGATCCTGTCGCGACTGTCAAAGCACTGAGCGCGTCGCGTCGCCCAGAGCATCTTTAGTGAAGGCGTGCTTCTGTTATAGAAGACTAGATTGCTGATTTTAGCAAGTAGTGGTAGAGGTAAAAGGGCGTTGAGGGTCTGTTTCACGTCTAGGGCGAGCACCGCTCGGCGAAAGTGATACCAAGAGATTGAATCGCGCCCGCAATACAGTCGAGCTGATTCATTCGCTAGCTGAACCTCTTGTGTAATCCAAAGCCTTGAGAACCATGGTCGCTCGAGTAGATGCCGAATAGCAGTAGCTTCCTGATCCGTGAGCGGTATCTCCACATCGGGGCGAAACCATCCCTTCTCTTTGGCGGACGGGGCTTCGAGATAGCTTTGATCCTTAGAATACTCGACCTGAGCTCCAATGTAGCCAAGCATTTCCATAGCTCGCTGGCTGTCCTCCTCTTTTGACTCAGGGCCCAACCAGACGTTCACTTGCTTCGCGAATCGATAAATCTGATCCATGCGCTTCACTTGTCTTCCCCGCTCTTGGAGATTACTTTGGTCGATACAGATTGCGTCTATCCAGAGCACCCTTTCCCTATCGGTGTAGCGGAGGTGTTGCAGCGCCGTTGCAAGGTTCGGACGAACTAGAAGGTCTCCGGTTGTTCCAAGGGCGACATCGACAATGCGTATTGGCGTGGTCTCGGTGTCGTTCCCCCATGTGTAGGACAGTGCTTCGAAGGCATACTCCAGGTTGACGTTGTTCCGGCTGCGAGTGTGCGTGCCTCTCGGGACGCTATCATCTGGGTGAGTTCAAGAACAGCAGTCGTCGACAGTATTTTCAAACAGGTAATGGCCCTCTAGAGTTTCGTATACTGTCCAACCGGGAGGCAGAGTTTCCAGTACTCGTGTCAAAGCGCTTGGCATCGGACCAATCTTCAGGCTGTCGCACAAAGGAACGTGCTGTATGTGAAGTTCGATACCCTCTCCCCGAGACGCAGGCTGCAGTCTGAGCAGGCGCAGCTCTCCTTTGGTCTCATCGAGTGGCCGATACTGATATGGGCGCATAATAGATGCCTCAATGATGAATCGCGTTGACTTGCGGGCTTGCCGGCATGGGCGAGGGCGAGAGACTGATAAGTACCGCAGTAGCGCAGCCTTGTGAGTACGGTCGGCGCATGGCTGAGTGGCGTTATAAGGCTGCCAATAAGTAGTAGATGTATGTCTCTTCGAATGATGGACTTGACGGCACACTGACCAGTCATACACGATATACATACACCACCGAAGTACCGGCCCCCGAAATCAAACGCCACACCATGCAGGCGAGCCACGTGACGCTGCTGCCTGCAAATACTGCGTTATACGCTACATCCATAGTGGAAAGCGCTCGGAGGTGTGTGGAAAGGCGAATGAAGCAGTCGCGGCAGGGCTTGCTGGTTGCGCGGCTTCCGTTCCAAGGCTTCGTGATAGAAGCCAAAGATAAGCACGAGACAAGGCGTGGTATCGGGGGAGCGGGACGATCGTTCGAAATAAACTCGCGCCTAATAGTTGTTCGTTTACCATAAGCGCTCTGGGTGAGCACGTGCAAGTAGGATATCTATTGTCGATGGGAAACCTTCAGGCGCGTCGTGGGAGAACGAGGACCTTTCAAGCTTGCAGGTCCGGGATCGAGGTGGAAGCCCCACACGGCCACACCGTCGCTACCCACCCGGGCTTCAGCCTTCTCAATAATAACACCACATGACACCTTCTGCGACCTGGTTTTACATGGCGTTGATGGAGCAGGCCAGATAACAGTGTGATCGCATCGAACAAGCGACCGACTGACCCATGTGATATGCACTCCGCAAGAACATAAGCAGAGTCACCAGAGTACTCTGCTCTCCGGTTCGATCCCCAGCGTAGAAGCCGAGACGGCTAAGATGACAGCCTTGGTGGGTTCTGATTTCGTGTTCGCATTGTGCCGTGCGATGGACACTAGATGTAAAACTCGAGTGTCATCGGCATCAGGTCTCCCAACTCCTATTGCCACGCGTAGTGCTCGTTGTTCAGCCACAACGGCCTCCCGTCACTGACCCCACCATCTGCATCGTACCAAAGCAGACTAGCGATACTATCGTTCTCCCGTTCGATGACCTCGTACTCGAGACCACTTTGAGTCAGCAGGTCTAGAACCAAGGGTGTAGGATCCCAAATTTTGACGACATCGAGATCCCATTCGTTGGCTTCGGTCTGAGCTGCCTGCAAAATCGCCCGAAGGCACACTATCTGCCGCTCATAGACGGTAGGCTCGGGTCGTTTGGTAGCCTCAGAAGATAACCTTGTTGCGGTCTCATCGACCTCCATCACTAGACGAAGTATGTATAGCACGTTGCGTGACGTGCTTGCGTCAGGATGACTGTAGTATCGATGCGTCCAAAGTGCCCAGACTTGGCTACCGGGCGGGCCAGCTCTCGCTCCTTTCGAATTGGGTATTCTGTCAAAGAGTTGTTTAGCGGCGAACTCTTCTTTGGATATGTGCCAGAGCATATGATCAACGTCTGGGATGATTGTAAACCGAGTTTTCGCCTCTTCTGTAGGTATTGACATGCGGGATCGTACCAATTCCTCATCCCGCTTACACAGAGCACCCAGCTCATCCTCTGTAACTGGTGTAGCAAGGGAAGGCCATGCGATGACGCTGGGTTGCAGCTCGATATGCGAATTCGTGGAGTTCGGGAGCCAACCCAGTTTGGCATAGTATTCTTTGCCTATGTCGGAATACAGCGTGCTTCCTACACATTGCTGTCCTTCTGCTTGCCACGTATACAAAGTCCTCGCTAACTCACGCATCATACGTGCCGCATACCCTCGGCCGCGGTACTCGCTCGGAGAGAAGACGCTAGCCACACCATGCACGGTATTCTCACTAACAGAGCCACTGGTATTGCTCGTGAGTGAGCGCTTGGAGAAGCTTTCGCAAGAACACAAGATTTTACGTTCATTGGGAGCTTGATCTTGGTGAACCAAGATCCATGTTGTCATGCCTCCGTCCTGGGCTAGAGGAACCGTAGCGAGCAAGTGACCCTCCTCTAAGTATTGCGCGAGCGAAAGCGAGTCTTTCCATTCGGCGGATGTATTGGTGGAGATTGTTCTGCACTCTCCTTCGGTAGGATGCCGGATAACGAGATGGGGGCTGTTTGAAGGCGGCGGGTCTTCTCTCGAGAGGTCGGCCATGGTATTTCGTAGTGGCTCGTTCGTGCGCGATGCGGAAGACGCAGTTGTATAGCGTGTTAGTATGGTTTACTGGACATGCGCTTGCGATGTAGGAGGGATGCCTTGAGTGCGGGGCTTCCAGCTACATCCATGCACAAGGCCATACTTAGGGCCGAGAGCGACGATGGCGGGATGATTTGATCGGGTCAAGTATTCCATACTGAAGGGCACCTAGCGTCGCAGCATGAAGTGTGGCTAATGATTCTGGGTGCGCGTAAGGGACGTGTCTTGCAAAGGGACCTCGGGCGCATCCGGAGAGCGCCTGGGCGAGTTGAGACGCGTAATTGACGCGCTAGGCAAGCACGTGATCATCGTCACCTCCAGGGTCCCACGTGTGTCTCCTGTCGCAAGCGGCACGGCCATGCGCCGCACGAGGACACCCACGGATGCGATCTTCTCCTCAACGACGCACTCCCTTCCTAAGCACCACAGCATGCATTTACCATACGCGTTGACTGTATAGTACTCAGACAGCATTGCTCATGTCAAGACGCCATTACCTAGCACCTTTGTATAGGAAGCACACATCGGCGCGCAAGACTGCGCAACGACAACGTTCGCAGCGATAGAGGTCTTGGGACGATTATACGCATAAGAGACATGTATCGCATCATGCATGCTAACGTGTAGCATCTAGTCAACCCTGCCGTCCTCTTCACTTGCGAGTCGGTCCCTCTTATACCTGCACCCCCAACCCACGACCGCAGTATACCCAGTTCAAGGGCTCCTCACCGCAATAGCACGCCACCAGTTACCCACACCAGCAACACAACCCGGCGCGAGCCAGTACAATATCCTAGACCCTTGCTCTCGTCCACGACCCTTCGTTCTATCGATCTCAGCCTGTTGCAGCGCGGTTAGATACACTTCAAGTGCCCCAACTTGCACATACGACCATAGGATCTTGACCCCAGCGCTTCCCGTTCGCTCAGCGGTACTTAAGCAAGATACCGGCCCGCTAGTAGCTTCGTGGGTGACCAGAAGCGAATCCCGGCTGTTGTATGTTTTTGCCAGGTCCATCCTCTTTTTTGCCCATTTTTTCGTACCCGACACGTTATCGATCCAACGATCGCAGAGAGGGATAGCAGCAATCAAAAGTATACAAGCCTCTATCACATTGCCAATCGCGCAAGCCCGAGATGTATCAGGCAGAAGACGTGAAGACTCTTTTTGATACCGCGATCCACAACCACGAACTAGAGCTATTTGAGCAGGCCAGGATCAACGCCCAAGGCAATGCGAAGAGACGCGACGATGAACGAGTCATAGCCATTGCGATAAAGAATAACTCAATACCAGCTCTTCGCTATCTAATCAAACACGGCGTCAGCATTAAGCACATCGACATTTCTGGCAAAGAGGTTGAAATTCCCACCCTCAAGTTCCTGCTCGCTCATGGCTGGGACATCAACTGGGCAGGAGAACCTCGATCTTGGCAGAGCCCCTTCATGTGGTCCTGTATCCACGACCGCGAGAAGCTCGTATGGTGCTTAAAGCATGGCGCAAAACTTGCTACGCCCGGAGAACCACCGCACAAGAGACCCATACTCGAAAGGGTCGCAGAGAGTGGCGACATCGCAACGTTTGAGTTTTTGCGTGCCAAACGGGCTCCCTTGGGACCCTGTACACTGCATAGGGCCGTGCTCATGGCGGCGTTGGGTCATGATGGGTCAGAGGACCCCGAAAAAGACGAGGAATGGCAACGGCGGAGCAGGGCGCGTCATGTCCAACGTACGGCGATGGTACGCTATCTAGTTGATACCGTGGGCTTGGATGTGAACAAGCTGGACTTTCCCCGCGATACGAAATGGTTGCAAGGAGAAATGGGGACGCCACTAGAGTACATCGTCGGCGTTGGCAGACCAGATACAGATGCTCGCGAGCTGACATGGTTTCTACTCGACCGAGGCGCGGATCCGGATGCTGCACTCGCTGAGGCGAGAAAATATGTCCATCCAACCTTTATAGAGTGGGTGGAGAGTTGGGAGGCACAAGGAGGTCGTGAGGAGTTGGAGCGATTCAAGGAGAACAAGAGAAACGAGCACCGGTGCTCTGTGCAATGAGTGTTGTAATCCAGGTAATTCCCTGAACCGATCTTTGATCGCATCGATTAGCTGCGCATCTACTCTCATCCGGAATACCTTACTATCTTGAAATGAACGAATACAAGCTGATCTCGCACCAAACATCTATCTCAGTGGCTCGGCTCGACGAAGCGTACGCGCCGTCACCGGCCTGCTGGCCCTAATTCTCTGCACCCTGTTACGCCATCGCACTGCAGTCAGTGCAATGATACTGGCAGCTTTCAACTCCCGAGCCTTCTCTATCTTGATGAAATCAATTTCTGCCTGTTGCACGTTGTACTCTTTACGTATCCGGTCTACCCAGTTCTTGCGAGGTACGGGCTGCTTGTCCACAATCATCATGTCTGCCGGTGTAGTGCGCCATGCCTTCCAGTCAAAGGACGGTAATAACAGCATCTTGTGATCCTTGTTACAAATGAGAGGGTGCAGGTCGTCGTCCAGAAGTTTCTTGTAACATCCTTGGCATAGCTGGACGTCGAGACAGTGCTTGCACACCCAACAGTCGGCTAACATGTCTGTCCATTCCGTCCCGCAGCCTCCGTCGCAACTATTTCCTGTGAGGTACGCCTTCGTAGCAGTCGCAGTTGATGAAGATGCTACTGGACCGTCTTCCAAGTTCTTGTCAGAAGTCGCCGGCACACCGTCCGTGTCGGATAGCTCAGAGATTGGCTGCGGAAGCTCTCCAGCACCTGGCCCGTTTGCTTTCGCATTCGTCGTGCTCGACGGTTGGTAGGGTCCGATCGCCTGCCACGCTGCAACGGCATCAGCATCTTTATCGAGGACAGTCAAAGTCCGAGCGAGGTTCGAGAACCTAATGGCGAGTGACGCATCGTCAGTAGCCTCAGGCCACTTGTCAAAGACACTGTAAAGCCGAGCCTGCGCCTGCGCGGAAGCTGATGTATGGTTCTGTTTGACGCAGTATAATCGAGCCAAACAGAGACGAGGGTCGAAACGACCTTGACGTAGGTAACAGATTATCTTCGTATTTTGATTGACGAGATTCTCCAATCGGATCGTGAAATCTTCGGAACAGCTCGAAGGAGCTTCTTCGAGTTTCGCAACTGCCACGTCAAGAAGAGCCAGAGCTAGCTTGCGAGCCGCATTCCATGCTGTCACATACGACGCTGGGTTGTCATCAGATTGTAGGACAATGTCTTCCCAGCATTGTATACTCCGGAGGTGATCGTTGTTGGACCCGCTTCCATGGAATTGGAGGTCGGCTTGGAAGTACTGCAGTTGTGTGGTTGCTTCGGCAGAAAGGTCCATCCCTGGTTCGCCATCGACAGCAGGTTTATCCAGCGGGTTGTAATCGATGGCCTGCTGGTACAGAGAGATGATCTCTTCTGCGGCACCAACTTGCTTTGCAGCCACAATGATGCATGTATGAAGGGCATCTTCGCGTGATGCTTTTCGCAGCCAGTAGGTCGATCCACGACCCTTGGATGTCGCATCTTTCCAGCCGCGAATGAGATCAATGATAGATTGAAAGCTCTTCGTTTTGCTCCAGGTTTCAAAGAGCCCCAAAAGTGCGTGTAAGTGGAGCCTGCTCCCAGCGGATGCTTCACTAACATTCTGGCTCAAAAGTTCCTGGTAAGATTGCACGGCCATGTCGTAGTCATCGCACTCCCGATAGCAGTCTCCTTCCCTCTTGAGCGTATCCCAGTAGGCCTCCTTGTACGAATCGTCCGTCTCAAGGAGCATCTCGCTGAGCGATTTGAAGTTCTGTATGTATCCAAGTGCCATACGGTAGTCCTTTTGGTTCTCATGGGCCCTTGCTAGATTGGAAAACAGTCCCCAATTCGTCGGAGAGTGTTGCTCCGCCTTTTCCAACGCAACAATGGCCTCCTTGTAGTGCTGGAAGACGATGTATGTAGCTCCCACGCGGTAATCCCAGGTGGAGCTATCGATGTCGACATTCTTGTGATCTTTTACCCAGCAGATGTACTCCTCAACGTCGGCATTTGAAGGCGGATTCCATTCTTCAAAAGGTCCGTCCGGTTTGAATATCTGGTTTTTGTCATCAGCCAAGCTTTACCATAGTTCAGAGACACTTGCCTTAGCTACAATTCCCCATGAGATCCAAAGATAATCTTCGTTTGACGTTCCAATTGAGCGGCTGAACCAATGTGTGGCTAGCCGCGCTGCGATGCGCTCGAGAACGGAGTAGTTGCTCGCTGCGTCTGAAGTTACAGACTTGACCCACTCACTCTTCTGCTCATCTTTCGAATAGCCTTTGGCCACTTGCGAATTTTGCAACAGCGTCACCAAGGGGTCGATGAACTCGTCCTTATAGAGGAAATCGTACTTCATCGAGACCAAATTCTTGTTGGTGAACCATGTATCGATCATGTTGGAATCGTAAAGCAAGTCAATCAGCTTGCTTCCAATACTGGTCATGAACTCCCTTCTCGGCTCGAATTCATCGAGCACCTTGACTAGGGTCTTGACGTATTCATAGAACCACATCGAAGCATACTCGCGCATTGCTTCAAGATTCTTGTCTTTCCGACCGTCGAGCAAAACATTGACGCACATGTCAATGATGGTGACATTCACGGCATTCTCGTCGTCGAGGTGAATGTGTACCTTTTTTGTCATGGCTTCAAAGAATTCATCAAACCCGAACCTGTCGTAATCCACTGTAGCGCAGACATTCTTGATGAACCGGCGACAAAGACCGACTTCGCCTTCACTGATTGTTTCGCCACGTAACTGGAAGAGTGCAGATTCGGCTCCTGAGGAAGCGCTCGTCGATAAGATCTCCCTGAGCCCGTCCTTAAATCTCACTCTATTCTCCTCGTCAATCATGAGCACAGGGGAGTAGGTAGTAGTGATCTGATCGGCGAGGAGAAAATCCTCGCCAATGGTAAAGAAGAGAATGCTCTTGAGCAGCTCGATCGATGGTGGGTAGATGCACCCTGCAACCCACACCAGAAGCTCATTGAGTACCCGAGCCTGACGTGAAGTCAGAAGATCGTCTAGAGTCTTGATCCTGTTTCTTTGGACGGCGTTCATGTCAGCGCCCGTGTTATTGATAACTTCCTGGACATTTCCTTTCGTGTCGCAAGCTTTGATCTCCGTGATCTTGGCCTCCAGGTTCCTGTAATTTCCGCGGATGCCTTCGAGCAGAAGCTCGATGTTCGAGTCATCAAGAACAGCCTTCAGGCCGGGTTTATTCTTGCAAACCTCCTCAATCCTAGCTCTTGTGACAGCTCTCAGATCGCTCGCGTTTGGCAGCAAGTCTGAAGCTATGTCTGAGTCGTTGCCTGCACGTCTCATGGATTCTTCAGGGCCTCCACGTTTCCCAAGAAGGATAACGTCGACACCTTTGCTTGCTGGTGAGACGTCAGATAGCGCATCCTCGTTTCCTGATATGAAGAGACGTAGAGAAACCCCATTTGACTTGGCTGAAGAGGAAGCCTGACCTGCGATAGCGGATATCATCATCTCTGCAGTGTCCAGTTGACCACGGCTATCGAAGCCGTCCATGCATATGAAGTACGTCCCTTTCATGACACGCTGCAATCCCCAAACCAGCTTGTTCCATCGATCTTCAGCTCGCGCAACGCTTGCGAGCTGCGCGCATTCCGCTACTACGGTTTGAGCATATGCAACATCCGCAAATGCAAACTGATAGATGATGGATCCAATGCATCGTTCGAGGGAGTCGTCCTTGTCATCTCCGTAGTAATAGTACGCGAGAAAAGCCTGGTCGGGACCACGTGCAGCCCGGCGGTTCTTTTCGAGATGCGAAACGACATGATTGAAGAGATGTGTCTTGCCGAAGCCGGAGTCAGCCTTCAGGAAAAGAACGGTTTTGTCATGCCTGCCTAGATCAGCCCACTGTACGAATGCGGGTTGTTCTTGACTGAGCCATTCTCCAGTCCCCCGCACATGCGTCTTGCAGAGCTCGCTATGTCGCTTGTTCCAAGTCTCCCACTCTCCAGGCTTCTTCAAACCCAGATACTTTGCGATCTTTTCCAAATTCTTTTCTTGCTGATCCTGGCTAGCCCGACCATCCAAAGTATTCTTCATCTGCTGAGTAACGGTTAGGATCTGATCGCTGACTTTGTACACCGTCTGAAAATGGTCGTTTATCTCATCATGATAGCGAGCTCTCTCCTCATCCGATGCGACAAGATGCTTTGCAAGCCCTTTGACGTCCAACAGTATATCATCGACCTCGGCTTTAGTGAACTCCTGGATTTGATCCTCCATCAGTTTGAGCGATTCTGCCATATCGTCGGAGTTGAAAAGAACGATTCCAGCCCATCTGTTCCACCGCTCTTTCTTGCTGGTAGCTAGCTTGTATGAAGAACGAAGCACGCCCAAGAACTGAGAGAGAATGTTGTATGCTGGCCTTCGCAGAACACGTGGTAGGTGGGACCCGCCTTCGCCGACCTTCTGCTCCATGAAATTCACCAGGCGACGAATAAAAGCCGATGAGCGTTCCATCAGAATGATGAACCCGTCCATCATACCGCTAATGCTCCGAGCTGCTTGGACGACGAAACTGATAGCATTCCAGCATTGCGCAGCGGGCCCGAAGACCACACCCGCCACTTGTGCGACCATGCAACCAAACTGTTCAAGACAGTTCCCAATATTGTTCAAAACTATCCTGGCGTTTTGATGACTCTTCGTCGAAGACTCTTTTATATCCGCGTCAATCTGTAGCTGGAAGCTGTTGAAGGTCGTGTATGCATCCAGCTTCCTCTTGGTAGTGTCCTCATACTGTCGCACAACTTGTGGCCAAACTTCGCTGAGATCTTCATCTTCATCGAAGACCGGATCTGGAGGGGCCGGCTCGTCTTTCTTATGCCCGAATCTCATGTTGTAGTATACACAAAATCGTTCGCAAGTCTTGGAAGGTTGACGCTAAGTGCTGAGGAAGTGCATCGGGAGGGCCGAACAGGGCATGCGCCAGTTTTATCGTCGCAGAGGCGTTTTCACAGCTGTCACCACTGCGCATATCCTGAGAACAGGAATTCCAGACCGGCCCCCAAACCTCAGCCGTGCCCGATCACACCTCGTATCTTCGATTGGCTGACGAGAGCCATCTTCTCATCCCGACACATGTATGTTGACCGGTCCGGGTGATACCGCTCTGCCGGTGATACTACTGGACATGCGCAGCTGCATGATATAGGGCGTTGCATGACTGCAGCAGGGTGGTTGCTGGTATCGTCTCCGCGGGGATTGCAGCCTGATTACACGGCGTCGCTGATTCAAGATTGTTGAGGCCAAGAGTGTACGTACGGCTTGGGATAATGCAGGTATCGAGCGCGAGATGAGACTATAATTGATGTGTCAAGCGGTGATAGAGAGAATGCTGTGTACATCAGCGGGTGCGGCACTAGGGTCGCGCAACAGCCTGGGCCGAGGCAATCGAGGCTGGCGCTCGCTGACTCAGCAACAGTCCCACCCATTGCTCCTGAATCCATTTCATCACCAGTGCCAGGCACTTCAACTCTCTCGATCTGCTTACCTTGATGCCGAATATGGTGCCATGCTCCGAAAGACTATCTAACAACAGTACCTGGGTACTGTCTGTTCGGGAGGTTCCATTTTACCTACCAATCAAGTTCTCTTTGGCTGACACGGGGCCCTCTTGGACAACGCGCTGCCTCGTCATTTGACATTCTTTGTACGTCGCTGGAGTCTCTTGCTCTTTGAAACGATCTTCGATGTTTGCCACTGAATTTGACTTCGTGACTGGTATCATACTGAAAAGCATGTGCGCGCAAGGTTGTTCCGCCTCCAATGGGTGACAGGTGGCGTGACCGAGCTGCTCACCGAATCTTCAGCTCGATAAAATGTGAGGTATTGTTTACTATCGTTTCTTGTGTCTCATCTTCCATCCCTATTTGAACCCGCAACTCGATCAAGCGTGACGATGGGAGACGCTCGTCCGTGTTGGCGATGGCAGTGTTGTGAGTGCCACGGCGACAACAGCGTTGACAGCGACCTTGGGTGTGCACATTGCGGATGTCATTGGAGATGCCATAATTGCAAGATTTTCGATGCAAGCTATAGGGTAGAGACTACTGCTGGATCTCTTACCGTGACGGCCACACATCAGCGGTTGAAAGCTGTCGTCCGCATGGCTGATCAGGTCGTGCCTTCCTCGTCGTGGGCCTACCCCACCAACAAGCTTCCTCTCAGCGCCCGGCACACGATGGCAATCGTCTCTCCTCTTTCACTTCTTTGCGCAAGGATACCGCCTGTTTGACCAACCTGCCTCCGGCCCCGGACCGTTCGCTAGACCTCTCCTTCACCTCCAATATACCCGACTCACTCTTGCGATTTCGAATCACTTTTTGCCATGGATACCTGTTTCCCTATATTGTTGCCTTACGGTCTTAGCAGCCAGTATCAGGATATATTGAGAGGGAGGAAAGATACGCCAGTGCGATGTGGACTGCCGCATTACCGCACTGCAACGCTGCTAGAGATTTCGAGGCTCAGCCCGTTTGATCCGCACCAGTCTCTCCCCTCTCTCGGTCGTACAGCCAACCACCGTCAAACCATTCGACAGCGTAAGCCTGATCACCCTCATCAGAAGGAGGACAATATGGGGTTCCAGCGCAACATCAAGAAAATCAATATGGGTCCGGCAACAGGCAAAGAAAAACGCGGTCGAGCGAAGCGAAAACCTCAAATTTCGGTGCGCAGGCTCTCTAAAGCTAGCTCCAAGTTTAGTCCCGGTTTCCGTGTGGGCGCATCGCAGGACTTGCCAATTACGCTCGATAGCGATGATGACGCGCCAACAAGCACTCCCCAACGGTAAGTCAAGACAAACAGCTCTCACAATACGCCTGTTCAACGCTAACATCGGTAGTCTTGACCCTCGTCGAACACATGTCTCACTCGCCAAGCCCAACCTACGAGGTTTCCGCTACGATGGCACGAGCGAGAGCCCGCGCGCGTTACCGAATACGTCGCATGCACCCGTAGGCTTCGTCCTACGACGCTCCTCACCAACATGTAGCGGGCCCGCAAAGAATCAATCGCATGCTGTACCCCAAGAAATACTACAACGAGATTCTGATGGCGATGAAGAGGCGTCACCGATCCGTAAACCTGCCACACGACGCACACGCCACAATCACGCACTCAATGGATGCCGGAAAGAGAGCAAGCCTGGGACTATCAACATGAGTCTTATGGATATCGACGACTTCGGTTTGAGAAGTAAGGTTGCTCAGCTAATGGCTGTAGCACCCGCGCTACCCATTGTGGATCTCTATCACCTCATCATAGACAGCGAAGGCGATCTACCATTGGCAAAGAAACAAGCCATCAGAATGAGTGAAGCCCCACCGGCACGATATTCACCAGGCTTGGATGCAGACGGTGAGGTCATGGTTAAGATAGACCCAAACGATCCCGCTTTTGAGTGGGACGACGATGAACCGCAGCCGGAGTCAACCACTACAATCGCATCGAGACCACAGTCCAGGCCGAAGAACAAAGCTACAAAGTCAAAGAGTCTAAACCATCATGCAAAGCCCTCTAAAAGCGCGAAGTCAGGTGCAAAACACTGCTCAAACACGAGCGCGAAACGAACCAAGTCGTCTTCGATGAACCCTACCCACGCCCGAGAGACTAGCAGCGACCGCGAGTTCATCGTCCCCGATAACACTGTCCATTACGATCTCAATTTTGATATCTCTAATGGCTCTGATGAGTTTTTTGGTGTTGAGGTACGCAATAGACGTGCAGACTGCGACGTTGCGATATTGGATGGCGAGGATCCCTTAGATCTGGATATAGACATGCAGCCGCGCTTTTCATACAACGCCAGACTGTTAAGGAAAAGGGCTAGAGTTTGAAATATGTAAAGAGTGGTTGGATTGTATTTAGCGACATGTAGATCGAGCGGTATCAATACCCGGCGTTTGGTGTATGTGGAAGAAATGACAGGTCGTTTTCGGGTTGCTACATCATTCAATTAAGGCATGCACGCTCCCGCGCAGCGTCGTACAGAATGCAGAAGACAGCAGCCATCTGCTAGCTACACGATACTCAATCGTACTTTGTGGCATGAGCGCCTTGTTCTGCGATTGCTCCATTCAATGCCTGCTCGCTCTTGCTGTCACCTTTCAAACGAGCGCTGAGACATTGAAGTCTCACAGGTAAGACAACAAACAGCAAAAGCATCTTTAGTGCAAACAACATAGATAACCGCTATGCTCTCTCACCTGTTGCAGCGCGCTCTCAGTCACGTCGGTTTTCGAAGTGAGTTCGACAGTACATCATCCTTCCCGTCCACCATATTTCCATCCTTCACCCTACCATCTTTCCCACCTCTGGTCCCCGACATGGCCGTCGCCTGCCCCCAATTCTCGTTCACGAAACCAAAACGTCTTCCAAAGCAACGGTGCCGCCCATCCAATGCCGCTTTCCGGGTGGCAGCGGCGCAACTCGATCTCATCAACCGCAAAGCAGGAGGGATCCGTATACCAGCGATCATAGATCTGAGTGATGGAGAGCCCAGCCCGGCGGTAGAATACGAGATGGTGGAATATGCTGTGCAGTAAGTACAACACGTAAGAATGACTGGACACAGTATCTGACGAATACATATAGGAACGCACTGGCAAGAGAACGTGGTCTACCGAGTGGCAACACGTTCGAGCGCAAGACGCCAATATCTACGAGTAGTTCCAAGTCACCAATCTCGCAACGAAAGCGACGTTTTATCGTAGACTCGGATGACGAGGATAGCAGTAAGTTACTATGCTTCACATTAACGCTCATTTACTCACCTTGCCTAGCATCTTCAACGTCGTCTCCATCACCTAACCAGAAATATCACCAGAAAGAGCGATCCATCCGTTCGGCCAGTCGCAACACAAAGCGACGAAGAGACAGCTTCCTATCTGACTCCGACGCTCCCGGCGATCAACCAGTCAGAAAGGCGAAGAAGCCGCGACAAGACTTGGCGGCTGAGTTGGACGACCTGGACATCGAAATGGAAGGTTGGAGCGCAGCTGAAGAGACGCCTAGGAGACAGCGACGCAGAAGGTAGTAGCTGAGTTACATGGGCAGCATGCCGGGGCCACTCAGATGCGACTTGTTGCGATCGGATATTTCACTACGCCTCAAATCTATATCAGTGGGGTAGATACGATGTACTCCGGCTCAGCGGAAGGAGATTGCATGTCACATCACGAGCGACCAGTGTGGAAGGCGGAGTAGAACCACGAATTTCCAAAGGCATGAACTCATCTTTACATCTACCTATCATCTAGATAAATATATCAATCCCATCATCAAACCATCAAACAACATCTTCCAAACATATATGTGCTAATCTTCCTCTCCCCCTGGGCAAGCCAGCCACACATACCCACCCATGACTTAATGATGGCACATCTTCACAACAACAAACCCCAGAATAAGCATGCCCACAAGAATACCACCAATAATACCGACTACAGCTATAGTCGACAAACCGCCTTCCGCTCCAGAGCTACTGGACTTCACTTTGAGGTCCAGAGTTGAGGTGGACTGAGCAGCGACGTCTGCTTTGGAGATCTCGTGGAGGATATCTGAGATGGAGGATGGAGAGGCCATGGGTGTGTAGGGAGTCGTCAGGGTGACGATGGTCGCTAGCGCGGAGAGCTGAGTGACAAGCGGCATAGCGGGGATGGAGTAGGTGGATGTGGCTAGTGGCGCGAGGGCGCTGGGGACGTTTAATGGGGCCATGGTGTTGTGTTGGGTTGTTGAATTCGGGATTTGAATTGGAAGTCCGGCTTCGAGACTATCGTGAAATGTGATGTAGATGGAGCTTGGGGGTGGAAACTTGTGACGAGGTACGGAAGGTCTTTTGTAGAACGAGTGCCGATGTGGTGTGAATTATCGTGAGACATGATGCTTTCACAATAGCTGCTTAGAGTGTTCTGGTAGACTGTCGTAAGTTGACAATGTTGTGAATTGTGATGATACTGTGGACGACTTACTGCTGGTCTCTCCGAGCCGAAATGAATAGACGGCACCTGATCATGCCTGTCACCCTGCGACTATCTCCATGATACTCGTGTTGAATCCTTCCAGATCACAATCATCTGTAAGCGGGATGCCTCATCGCTCTCGGTGGTGCGCGAATATTCGCGTTGTTCACGCTCGACCCAATGAACTGTTGCATCTGCGTCTCCACCTCTTTAGTCGCTAAGCGCTGCTGCTCTTGTTGTGCTGCCAATAGCTTCTTGTTCTTGTATCGCGTCACCGTTTGTTGATAGAATACCCAGCATATGAACGAGAGGAAGAAAGGCGCAAAGACACACATGGGAATGAACCATGGTAAAGGAATGGGACCGATCATACGTTGTTCGGCGTTGATGGGCTCAGCGCGGTGTGAGAACTTTAGTGCAGGCATGTTGTGCGATGTGACAAGATGAAATCTGTATGTGTATTATGCAAATTGGAAAGTTGCGATTGAAAGACTGTGTGTGGTTGTTGAATGAGTGTGTAGGTAAAGAACGAATGCGCAGGTAAGAATGGCAGGTGGGGACGGGACCTTCACGATAGTTAAACCACACGGAGCACAGCCCCAGCAAATGAAAGAAGTGAAACCCACCCAAAATAACCCCGAAAACCAACGATGTTGCCGGCGCAGAACCAATCTCACTGTATCAAGTAACGAGTCTCGGAATTAAAAAAGCAAAATTGCAGGATACCTATGCGAAACTCTAAACTCCACTAGCTGGAAACGCGTCTGACAGCTGTACCTGTTTGATCTTCAACGACCACACCACATCTTCGCTGTCGACCGCAACATCTACCTGCGATTCTCGCGATGCATTGTGGGCGAATGTAGCGGTGATACGTCGCTGTAATCTCGCGTGCGGTTATAATCGTGGGGTGGGCCGTTTGGACTCAACGGCGAAACTGGCTGACCGGCTGGGTACTCCGGATTACGGGCGAGCGCCGGCAGATCGCTTACGGGACGGGACTTTGGATTCGAGCTGCGCGTGGGTATAAAGCTGGGTAATTGCAGCGGATATCCAGCATTGTCACCAGTTCCATGCGTTGCGACTGACTGGAAGTCATCAGCGGATGTCCTTCGATCTACGGGATCTCGTGTGGCATACACACCTTTTTCGTCGAAGCCGTCCTGCCAGTTCTGGGCGCGAGCGAGGTCGACCGGATCCATGCCATATCCCTCCGAAATTGGTATGTCATCATAGTGGGTGGTGGAAGGTGAGCCGTCACGGCGGCGTCGGCGTCCACGGACGACCTCTTCATAGTGTGGATAGCGACGGCGGCTATCACCCTTTTCCGGATCATGGGTCGTGGGAATCAGACCCCTACAGTACTTGATCGCCAGGAAGCCTACGAGAACAACACCGAGGGCCAGTATGATGACACCGATGATGTGGCCTAGGTTTTTCGCGAAGCGGGGACCGTCTCGCTTGGCGAAGGTTGAATGAAGATCAGACGATGCATCTGCTATTGGCATTATGGGACCGGCCATCTCGAAGGGTGTTCCGCGATCGAAAGCGACTCCGGTGGCTTTAGGCATCAGGGTGGACACCGTGCTGTAATCAATGTACGATGGTAACGCATCAATCGGCGGTGCTACATTTGGATTCCAAGGATTGTTCGAAACTGCCTTTAGGAAGGAAGACGCACTTGCGTGAGCACTGGCGGTTGAAGTCGTCTTCGTACAAGCTGCGCATTGATGACAGCCGATGTTAGAGACGGGAATATCCGAAGAGAAGAATGTGCCTCCATCGGATGCAGTGGAAGTAGACATAGGGACAGCCGACGAGTAGAAGGTACTAGGATCTACTGCTGTTGTAGTATTCGTGGCAGAGGCAGGAACAGTCGTTGAGACATCCGAAGAAAAGAACGCTCCTCCGTCTGAAGCAGTAGACGTCGATGCAGCGACATCCGATGAGTAGAATACACCAGAATCGACTGCAGTCGAAGTGGTAACAGAAGACGAAGTCATCGTACCTGAAGAAGCGGTTCCTTGCGCGGCATTAGGCCAAGTGAAAGCCGCCATAGTATTGTTTTGTGACATTTTGGATGTTGAACAAGTAATGTTGGTGATTTCGTCTTGTTACGTCTGGTCGTAGTTGGGATGAACGAGGACCTAGGAAGATTGCGGAAGATAATTTGTAAACAGTAGCTCTGTTCGTGGTGTCCGTACAGATGCCGCACCATATGGTGACTATCACTGGACATTAGACCTGTGAGCTCACAGTGCCGGGTTCGATGACGCTGAGCGCTAGTCACATCAACGGCGACATTCTAAAAGGTATACTCCAACACATTGTAAGCTTTCGGATTCATGAGATCGTGAAGGTTCAGCAAACCTGGCACACAATGCCCGACGAAATAGAGTCTAGAGTCTGTTCCTCTCCCTACTCAAAGTATCAGCACACTGCTAAGAAAGCACACGAACATAGTAGCAACCTTCTCATACCTACGCGCAAGTCGACTTCAGACATGACGTCTCCGTACACCGTTCCTTACTCCAGCGGCCTCGCCCTCGCGGCTACTAACACGACCGATGCTTCGCCACTACAAAACAACATGGCCTCCGTCTATCCCAGGCCTCTACACCCACCAAGCACTTCAAGCGCAGAATACCGTATCTGGCTGGGCTTCTTCATCTTCGGTACCATTTCCGCTGCGATGATGGTCATAATGATGCTCTGGCTGTGTGCGCTATCATCTGGGGTCGCTCGTTTGGCTCGTAGAAAGCGCGAAGAGAAAGATGAGCAGAAAAGCTTAGCAAGTGAATATGAGATGCATGAGAGGGTTCGGGAGCCGGAGCGTGCTTTCAGGAGGGGTAGATAGGATAGAGATGGAGATATGCGAAACTAAGCTGAACGATTCCATCATTCGATCATGCTGTTGAGATGAAGCGTAGAATCTTGTAGTGCATGGTGTAATTCATGGATGCGACCGTTTTGCTGTACCGTGACATGTGACAAGCACTCGGTTGAGACATTCCGTTGCGCCGAGTGACACCAAAGTGAAAGCCCACGGTGGTATACTTCCGCACCAAGTGAATGTCAGTCGTGAGGCTTCCAGAGTATCGCCAGTCCATGATTTAGCGTTAACCGAGGGTGCATGAGAATGCAGGGCTATTGCGGGTGGGATGCCATGACGGAGGCGGAATGGACCGGTTTGGCGCACGAAGACATCCCGCGGCCGGTGGAGCTTTCTTTTTCTGTATCCGAGCTTTGCGCAACCCTCCCGCCGCGACCACCCACCTCGACGACCTGCTACCACCACCGTGTAGCTCCAATTGGGTCGTGACAACCTTGAAATACCCTCAACATGTTGGCTGCTCGCTCCTTCGCCGCCCCTGCGCGGCAATGCATGCGCCAGGCTACCCGCGCACGATGGGCGCCCGCGCTGTCCCAGGTGAGCTTCCCGCGGGACACTCGATTCTTGCGCCTCGAGACAATGGGTGCATAGGAAGAGAAAAATAGCCTGGAACTCTACTAACATATACAGATCTCCGCCCGCACATACGCCTCTGAGGTCGCCAAGTTCCACGGACAGAAGGGCAGCGACGGCAAGTACTCCGTCACTCTAATCGAGGGTGATGGTATCGGCCCCGAGATTGCGCAGTCGGTCAAGGACATCTACTCGGCCGCCAACGTCCCAATCAAGTGGGAATCCGTCGACGTCACCCCGCGCCTGAACGAGGACGGCAAGACGGTCATCCCCGACGAGTCCATCGCCAGCGTCAAGAAGAACTTGGTCGCCCTCAAGGGCCCCCTCGCGACGCCCATCGGCAAGGGCCACGTCTCGCTCAACCTTACTCTCCGCCGTACCTTCAACCTCTTCGCCAACGTCCGCCCCTGCAGATCCATCGCCGGCTACAAGACGCCCTACGACGACGTCGACACTGTCCTGATCCGTGAGAACACCGAGGGAGAATACTCTGGCATCGAGCACATTGTAGTCGATGGCGTTGTCCAGAGCATCAAGCTCATCACCCGCGAGGCCTCTGAGCGCGTCCTGCGATACGCCTTCCAGCACGCCCGCGACATTGGCAGGAAGAAGGTCCGCGCTGTGCACAAGGCCACCATCATGAAGATGTCCGACGGTCTCTTCCTCAGCACCGCCCGCGAAATCTCCAAGGAGTTCCCCGACATTGAGTTCGACGCCGAGTTGCTGGACAACACCTGCCTGAAGATGGTTACCGACCCTGTTCCCTACAACGACAAGGTCCTTGTCATGCCCAACTTGTACGGAGACATTCTCTCCGACATGTGCGCTGGTCTCATCGGTGGTCTCGGTCTTACTCCCTCCGGCAACATTGGTGACAACTGCTCCATCTTCGAGGCTGTCCACGGTTCCGCGCCCGACATTGCTGGCAAGCAGCTCGCTAACCCCACCGCGCTTCTTCTCAGCTCCATCATGATGCTGCGACACATGGGTCTCACCCAGGAGGCCGCCAACATTGAGCAGGCCATCTTCAAGGTTCTTGCTGAGGGCAAGGTAAGCACCAGACATCATCTTTGTATATGAAGACATGCTAACGATGTTACAGACCATCACTGGTGACCTTGGTGGCAAGGCCAAGACCTTCGAGTACGCCGACGCCGTCATCAAGGCCCTGAAGTAGACTAGGTTATGGATTTGACGAGCATTGAACGACCGAATGGTAGCGATTGCATACTGTGGATATGTATTAGGCCTTGTACTATAGCTGCCATCTAGCTAGATATACCTCTTGAACTTTGCACGTTATGATCGAATCACTATTGCCGGAACTTGCGTGAAATACTAGAAACGGGCGTTTTAATATGTTGTTTGATATCAGCGCCGCCTGAGCTCGTAGTGACATTAGATGTGTGCCACAGATGCGGTCTTGCAGAAGAATAGCAGCACCTCCAACGTCCAACGGCAACGCGGGCAAGTATTGCCGAGCAACATCGCGTTACCTTGAACAAGGCCCCATCACAACCCAATCTCCCAATGCCACCCAAACCTCCTATCCGGCTTCCTGCGAAACCTCCTACTGCACCGAAAGCGTTTGCGAAGCCCTCACTACCGGTTCGACCCGCAAATCCAGCCCCGCGCACTCCGCATCCATCAAAGCCCACCCCAGCAACACCATCTCGCACCGCTCCCCCACCACCACCACCCCGATGGCATGAAACCGCACGCGCTCGCACAGGCGGCCGCTACCTAAAATGGGGCACAAACGGCATCGTAGCCATCTGCGCGCTCCTCTGGATCCGCGACCACTTCATTGAAATCCAGCATGTGCGTGGCTCCTCCATGGCACCCACGCTCAGTCCCGACGCGCACGAGACGGGTCGGGAAGATTATGTTATCGTGCGACCGTATCAGGAGCGCAGAGATGGCAAGAAACGGAATGTGAAAGGAGACAAGGGTGAAAATGGGAAGGACGGCGCGATCTTTTGGGGCGTAAAAAGAGGCGACGTAGTAACGTTCTGGAAACCGCACAAACCGGGGGAAATGGGGATAAAACGCGTTGTGGCGGTGGAGGGGGATACCGTATATCCTACACGGGGCTACGCGCTTGACCCGCAGTCCTTCCAAAACAGACTGAAGGGTGTACCAGACGGACTACCTGATCACGACGAGGACAGCGTTGCGGGTAGAGATGGGGAGGAGGTGGGTAAGGTCGTTGTGCCGTATGGACATGTGTGGATTGAAGGGGATAATTGGCGGAAGAGTCTTGATAGCAATGATTTTGGGCCGATTAGTAAGGCGTTGATACAGGGGAAGGCGGTCAGGGTTTGGAGGGACTGGTTGGGGCTGAGGGAGGTGGGGGATGAGAGGGTGAGGGGGGAGAGGGGGAACAGGAGTAGGGTTGTTGAGGGGAGGAGTGAGGTTCCTGCGGTGTTTTTGGATGGGTGATCGTGAGAGAGGATGGGATAGATTGATACCCAAGGAAGATGGGAAGACTGTTGCGGTAGTGGTAGGTTTGTACATGTGTATCTCCCCCATTCAGTCCCTCTTGAAAAGCGTCTCAATTTCCTTACAAACCGCATCGGTCACACCCTTCGTATTCTCACTTCCACCCAGATCCTTCGTCTTAACCCCCCTCTCCGTAACATTTTCAATCGCCTTCATCAACCCATCAGCCGCCTTCTCCTCTCCAACCCACCTCACCATCTCTGCCGCACTCCAGAACGCACCCACGGGATTCGCAATGCCCTTGCCCGCGATATCCGGCGCAGACCCATGAATAGGCTCAAACATACTCGGGTTCTTCCTTGTAGGATCGAGATTCGACGACGGCGCAATACCGATCGACCCACTCAGCGCAGCCGCAAGGTCGGACAAGATATCCGCGTGTAGATTTGTCGCAACGATGGTGTCGAGCGAGGAGGGTTGCAACGTCATGCGCACCGTCATGGCGTCCACAAGCATCTTGTCTATCTCAACGTCTTCGTACTCTTTTGCGACTTCGTAGAAGACTTTGTCCCAGAGGACCATGCCGTGGCGCTGTGCATTGCTCTTGGTCACCATGGTGAGCTTCTTGCGTGGTCGTGAGCGCGCGGTTTCGAATGCATACCGCATTACGCGCTCGATGCCCACGCGTGTGAAGATGCTGACTTCAGTGGCAATTGTGTGCGGGCTGTCTTCGTGCGACGTGCCGCCTTGGCCGGAGTACTCGCCCTCGCTGTTCTCGCGAATGATCATCCAGTCGAGATCGCTGGGTTTACAATTCGATAGAGGAGATGTGGTGCCAGGGAGAATGCGTGTAGGGCGGACATTGACGTATTGGTTCAGCGACTTTCGGATTGGCAAGATGAGGGACCAGAGGGATATATGGTCTGGCACGTTGGGCCAGCCGACGGCACCGAAGTAGATTGCATCATAGGCTTTTAGTTGCTCGAGACCGTCCGGTGGCATGTACCATCCTCGCTCGAGATAGTTCTTGCTGCTCCAGTCAAAGGTCGTGAAGTCGAATTCGAAGCCGCCGATGGTTTTGCTTAGAACGTTGAGGACTTGGACGGCGGCTTCTGTTATGTCGACACCGATGCCGTCGCCGGGGATGCAGGCTATACGGTGTATGTTGGTTACCGAGTGGATATGCGATGGCATCTTAGTGGTTGTGGTTGCTGTAGGTTCGGAGATATGTTCAAGCAAGGATCAGAAGGTCCGATTGATAGAGATCGGGATGGCGATACATTACCCTGCAGGTGATGGTGTTCTTTCTCGATCTGACGACGACAGCAGGCTCATGATGTCTTATACCGCAGGCAGGTCACGACTGCCGGAGATTCTTTCTCCGCGCAGGACAAACTTCATCCGGACATAATTCTGCGTCCCGACGACGCTGCCCAAGACAGATGCAGCGCCCATGTGCAAGGTGAGCTAGCCGCTCGCAGTTCCCCTCTCGAGACCCTGTGCGTCGCGCCTTCCCCGCGCTAGCTCACTGCAGCCGCATGCCCCACCAAAGCCACGCGTGTCGAACGCACCAGAGCTCACCGCTTGGGCCGAGACCACCTTTGCCATAACAAACGTCTTTCTGCCTTTCTCGCATCTGAACCTCAATTGCTTTTTCCAACACTACAACAAAATACCACACACTACCCCACAATGGCTGCTGCGTACCCTCCCGGCGGAACCTTCTTCGAGACGGTCAAGAAGAGCTTCGTGGACGTGCCTGTCGATGAGTCCAAGGACAATGCTATCTCGACGAATGAGTTCCTAGAGGCGGCTGAGAGCACGACTACTTTGTTCGATGTCTTGGGCTCGGTGGCGTTCAAGCCGGTCAAGAATGACATGAGCGGCAACATCAAGGTGAGAACTATAATTGATGCTACAGCAACAGCTGTACTAACGCCGGGCAGAAAATCCGCGACAGACAGCTCGCAGCACCCGCCCAGTCAGAATCACTTCAAGAGCTTGCCCTGAACGAGCTCAAGGAGAAGAAGCACACCGCCACCGAGGGTCTCGTATGGCTGAACCGGTAAGCTCTCCTTTCACACCCCAACATCACGTTGCTAATCTGTCCCAGTGGCCTCGACTTCACTGCCCAAGCCCTCCGCCACAACATCTCAAACCCCTCCAAGGAGCTCGCAGACTCCTTCCGCGATGCCTACGGCAACACACTCAAGCCCCACCACTCCTTCATGGTCAAGCCCATCTTCAGTGCTGCCATGAGCGCCACACCCTACCGCAAGGACTTCTACGGAAAGTTGGGCGACGACGAAAGCAAAGTACAGGCTGAGCTTGAGAAGTGGCTCGCGGCGTTGGAGAAGCTGGTCGCTATCCTGAACACATTCTTGGCGAAGAAGGAGGCCAAGTGGTAGATGGGGAAAAGTGAGCGAATATAGGTACTGGCATGTCCTACGCTATGAATGATGAATATGATCAGCTGTACAATGCTGTATGATGCAAGCTCTATGTCTTGCGGCCGTGATCTTTGTGCCTTCCATTCTCATTCCACTCTCCTACTTCCTCCTCTCAAATACGAATAGCGCCTCGTCCTTGCCAGCAAAACTCGGCAACGGCATCCTAAGCACCAACTTAAACTGCTTAAGATTCTTCTCCACCCACTCATCAACCACCACATCCTGAAACCCCGTAAACCCATTCCCGTTCTGCGTCCCCGCAACTACAATCCTATCCCCAGCGAACGCCTTAAGCAGCGGACCCGTGAAACCCCCTGTCGCTTGTGGATATACCAGCAGTAATACGCATCCCTTCCCGCCATCATGGCGTTTAAGATACTCCTTCCCATCCATGATAATAGTATCTTTGATCCACGTCACCCGATACTCACTAACCTGATTATCAATAGCCCGTACATCAAGTCCCTTCTCAGTACCAATATGCGCAACAGGGAAGTTGCGGAGCATATACGTCCAATACCCATTTCCACTCCCTACATCCAGGATAGGCAATACATCTTCCTTTGCCGGCCGCGCCGGCTGAGCTAGTTTAGCCAAAACATGCAAAGCGGCGTAAGACGGGACTACGCAGCCGAAGTGATGGTAGAAGATGGGGAGGATGTGATGCGAGATCCGCGTATTTGTTGTTGAGATTAAAGGACCTGCCCATTCTAGTTCTTCGCAGGAGTAGGCCCACAGATCGAGGTAGGGGTTTTTGTGTTGGCGGGGGGCTTTTTTGGGGTCTCTTTTCGCTGGGAGAAGGGTTTGGGTTGAGTTGTTGAGGAAGCGGGTTGTTAGGTGGTTTCCTATGCGTTTGCGGAGGGTGTCGGCTTTTGCGGATTTGGTAAAGTTGTTTAGGGCTGTGGGGAGGTTGTTTTGGGGGGAGAAGAGGGTGGTATAGGCTTGGATCTCTTCTGGTGTTGGGTATTGGGGCGGGTCGAAGGCCTTTCCTTCGTCGTCATGATACCATCCATGGAGACCGTGGGCTCGCTTCGCTTCGATGGCTCTTTGGGTCGCGTGGAGGGTTGTTTCGGCTTGGGCGCGGTAGATGTATTTGTCGGTTGGGGGGATGCCGAAGGATTCTCCTATACATTGTGCTAATGGCTTGTTGCTGTGGGTTGGAGAGTATTCTTTCTCTGTCCAGGCCTCGAAGAATGCATCGGGGTTGAAGTTGGTCAATGCCATGTTGATGATTTACGGGTAGATGCCGATCCGTGATTATGTTCGCAAACCTGCACAACCACCAGTATAGTTGGTAATCCACAATTCCGACTCTTCCTTGTGCCGGTACGTCAACTCAGAACGGTAGTAAGTAAACAACGCGCGAATCGTAATAGTTTGGTCGTAGTGCTGCGATCGGACATGTTCCGCAATGCCTTCGGCAAGCGGCCAATGGGGGCTAGCTGAGAAAGAAGCAGGGGTGATTCCGTCATCCATCGGTAATCCGCCTGGTCAGCAAGCGTCTTCTCTCTTCCCCACAAGAGGCTGTTACTAACCTGGCCGTGCCTTAGTCACTCATTGCAAATGCGATGCGCGAAGTAAATGAAGCTTCGACATGATGCGCGAACTAACCCTCCCCCTACTAACAGCTATAAAGGCGCCTCGACGCTTTCGATGCCAGGATTCTTCCTTTCGTGATGACAGACACACCTGGTGAACATCGCTCTACTACAACAGATACTTCGTATTCGACAACCACAAAGACACTTACTGTAGTCGTTGGTCTTTTCGCAATCATCCTGGCTTTCTCAAGCACTTTCCGAAGTATCTGGTTTCCTGCTGTTCTTACCAAGCCCGCCACACGCGCAATGTCGACGGCAGGCCCAACTTCGATGAAGCTCACCAAGCGCGGTTGGTCACAACGCGGACATGCCGACCACGACTGGCTGTACACATACCACACTTTTTCTTTCGCCTCGTATTATGACCCCAGACACGAGAGCTTCGGCCCACTGAGGGTCATCAACGAAGACAGAGTAAAGGCCGGCACCGGTTTCGGTACGTACACCCCGTCCCATGTACACGCCTACTCCTTTTTAACATACCAAACAGGAACACATAGCCACGCCGAATTCCTCATCTTCAGCTACATCGTCAACGGCGTCCTCGAACACAAAGACAGCATGGGCAACCTCGAAAACCTCAAGCGCGGCGAAGTCCAATTCACCTCCGCCGGCACCGGCATCCGCCACTCAGAATACAACCGCAACACCGACTCCGAAGTCCACTTCCTCCAGATCTGGGCCAAGCCCAACAAGCGCGGTCTGAAGCCACATTACGAGACGAAGAAGTTTACCGACGAGGAGAAGACGGATAAGCTGGTTAGGATAATGGAGTCTACGGACAGGTTGGAGAAGAGTAAAGGTGCTATTGGGCTGCAGGCTGACCTTAGCATGGATGCGTCGATTTTGAGCCCGGGCAAGAAGGTT